GGCTCCCTGCTCAGTGGGAAGCCTGCTTCTCCCTCTCTGACTCGCCGTGCTTGTGTTCCCTCTCTCGCTGTGTCTCTCTCTGTCAAATAAACAAATAAAATCTTTAAAAAAAAAAAAAGAGAGAGAGGAAGGTGGGAGCAAGGGCATTTCCAAGAATGCCACAGTAGGGGTTGATGGCCACTAACTGGACAGCAGTGTGGGCTGCAGCACGTCCAGGGGCAGCCCTGTGTCTTCAGTCCTGGCTCACGTCTAACGACCCGGCATTTTGCCAGCCCTGCCTCACTCTCTCCGAGTTCCAGCCTAGGGGGAGGGCCTCCACTGTGCTTCCCTTGAGTTCCCAAGGATAAGGCTGACACCTGCGACTTTCCAAGGAAACAAACCCCCTAGGAACATCATTCCTGGTTCTGGAGCTTTCTGGATGCTTTGGCAAGCCCCTCTGCCAAAGAAAACTTCTGAGCCATGTAGCTACATATCTATCTTCTAATAGGCCTTGAGCCAACTCATATGCTCAGAGGGAGAAACTGCGCAGCTTGGTCCTCACCTGCACAACCTCTGAGTAGGGGACAGTAGCTCAAGAGGCCCTATCCAGGGGCGCCTGGGTGGCTCAGTTGGTCAGGCGTCCGGCTCTTGATTTCGTCACGATCTCAGGGTCGTAAGATTGAGCCCCGTGTCGGGCTCCATGCTGGGTGTGGAGCCTGCTTAGAATTCTCTCTCTCCCTCTGCCCCCCTCCCCGCTGCTTGCACACACACTCTTTAAAAAAAAAAAAAAAGGCCACATCCACACAGTTTCCTAGCAAGTGGAGCCCCCGAGGCCAGGGTCCTGGTGAGATGAGGGGCAGTGAACCCTGTGGCTCATCCTCAGATACAACTACTGATTATCTCAGCATGTGAGTTTTGCACTGTCTGCGCGCCCAGAGCGTCTGAGGCAGGATGCAAGAGGGGCAAGTGAGCTGCAGACAGAACCCGTAGAGGTGCGACCATGCCTCCTCCGCAGGATGGGACTGTCCACTGCCAGCCGTGTGAACCTCGCGACAGGGCTCCGAGGTATCTGCATGGCCCAGCTGATGTGGCAAAGCCAGAACAAGCTGTTCAGCTTCCCAGGGCTCCTCAAGCTCCCTCCATGGGCTTTGGGAGACAGGGAAGGGCCTAGGGAAAGCAGCCAGGCCCACAGCTCTTGCTCTGAAGCCTGAGCTGTTCTGTAACAGCAGGCTCCATCTGCAGACATCACGTTCCCTCCAGCTCACCCTTCCACCCCTCAAGAGGTGCTGCCGGCAAGCTGCGGCCGCACGTGGCAGCCCGAGGGTCCACAAGTAAAGCCCCCTGCCCAGGGCCACGGCTGGTGTGTGGCAGGGAAGCCCACCTGACTGAGGAGCCTGAGCTCTTGTTAACTCACATCTGTGGTTACCCAGGCTTCTTTTGATTCTAAAATCATCAGGCAACTAAAGTCTAGGATCCTCTGTGCTGTGCCTGTTGCCTGTGTGTTAGCAGATGGTGTGGACGAGGGTGCTGACCTCACTCTAAGCCACCCTCAGGGCCACTGGACAGCAAGCACCATGACGAGGGAGATGTCCATGACAGCCCTAAGCATGTCCTAACCCAGGAGACCGAGGCTCTGAGGCAGGCTGAGAATCTTGGAAGAGACCCCGGGAAGGGCCCCTCCCAGCCCGCCCTGTGTCCAGACCCTGTGCAGAGGCCACTTGAGGCTGACCGGACCCTCAACCTGGCCCCGGGCAAGCACGAACCTGCTGGAGGAGGCCATCCAGCGCATCCTTGTCCGCCTGGGCCAGGCCGTCCTTCTGTAGCCGCAGCAACAGCTCGGCCTTCCGGTAGGGCCTCAGCGCCAGGAGGTGCAGCACCCGGTCACGGAAAGGCCTCTGAGACACCCCACTGCCCCCGCTAATGCCACCAACACTGCTCTTCTTGATGGCACTCGCCAGGTTGATGGGGGTTGCCCGCTTCCGGGAGGGCACAGCGTCCGTGGCCCCCGGGGCTGGTTTCCGAAACTGAACCTTCTTGCCTGCAACAAGAACAAAGGCATTATGGATGTGAGGGGGTGGGGGGCCTCTGTGCCCCTCTACCTGGGGCTGTTGCCAAGTTCTGAGCGAGTGCGTGGATGCCCACTGATGGCCACCAGCCCGAGGGGAAGGCAGTTCAGTTCAAGCCCTGTCCAGCCCGGCCGGCTCAGTGGGGACCCAGGACAGCTGAGAGCACCACCTGCTGACCACACACAGCTCATCAGGCGCTTGCAGGGCCCCCAGTGTCAGAAGCAGGAGCTGCAGGAAACAGAACGGACTTCATCATGGGCAGCCCGACCACTACAGGGAGAGGGGGCTGATGGTAAAAAGAGTGGGGTTCCTGAATGGCCAGAGGCAGATGCCCCCAGAGCCTACACATCACAGCACTGTGCTGGCCCCACAGGATCCCCCATTCTCTTTTATGAAAAAGGAGTGAACAAAGGCATCAGGCTGCTTGGGCAGCTTCTCTGGAGACCCCAGGGTAGGAGCAGCTCCCCAGCTGCAGCCCTGCCGAGCGCTTCTTGGGCAGACATGGCTGTGCTGAGAGTCCCAGCGGCAGCAGCCCGATCCCCCACCCTTCTAGAGCAAACAGACTCCAGCTCTGCTCTGGAGGGAGGGGCCTCCACTCAGAAACTGTTAACTACCCCCTGGATAGCAGCACTGCCGCTGAGAGAACACGCACGGCCGAGGGAGGGCAGCGCACGCTTCATGACCTTGGGCCAGAAAGCTCTCTAGGAGGATTTTTTCTGCTCTCATCCCTTAAATCTCGTTTGCCAAATTAACACAGGAAGAAGTGCTGTCAGAATCCTCAGGGCCAGGCTTCGTCCCCAGAGGACCCAGCTGATGGGCCAACGCAGGGTCAGGGAGAGGCCTGACACAGTGGGACAAGCATGTCTGTCTTCGGAGGCCAGGTGACAAGTGCTTCCACCAAAACCAAAACGACTGCAAAACTCTTGCTGTACCCAAAGTGGCAGAAGCCACATTTCTGACCAAGTTTCAGGCCGAAGGACCAGATATTTACTGAGATGTATACGCATGTCCACATCTGCACCTCGAGGTGAGAGCAGGCAGGGGAAGCATTTTTGGATTTTGGTGACTGCTCTCGGGTGGCTCTGTCCCCAGCAACAGCCACAGCCCAGAGCACAGGCTCCCTCAGCACGCACGGCCACCCGGACGCAGCGTTCACTGGCGACATGGACTCCTGCAGACATCTGGGGTTTCATTCAGAGCCAATCTCACTGCCAAGCCAGTGAAATCATGTGCTCCTTTGGGGGGCTTTGAAATCCTCCTACCTTTTCTTAAAAAAGGAAAAAAACCCCAAAAGCCATCAAGGTCCTGGTTTGCTGTAAGCCATTTTGAACCTCCCTTAGGCCTAACACCCTTCCCCCCAGCCTTGAATCCTCATGACTCTTGAACTGGTCTGGACCTAGGTGCTGGGAAGACTAAAGCAGGAATGGAGCTTCCTACAAGTAAACACTTTTCATGCTGTTGGTGTCTCAACTTCACCAAAACTGTTTCCAAGCAGATGATATGCCGCCAGGGCCTTCTCATCCAGCAGGGAGTCAACACATTTCCTTCCCAGGTGCGACCCGACGGCCCCTCACTGGCCCCAACCCAGCAGCGGGCCACTTGCCACAGGGTAGGTCTCGCCATCTGCACCTTGCCACTGGCCATGTCAGTCTTGGGGAAGAGCCGGCCAGGCAGGTGAGGGCAGGGGTGGCCGCTGGAGGACAGACCGCAGCCCTGCTGTCGAAGAGTGGGTCTATCTCTCTGATGGGTAGAGATCCCCGAGGCGAGAGCCCGGGAGAGAGGGGCCCGTGGATTTGGAATTCCTAGAGTTCTTGGGGCTCTTATTCAAACTGGGCAATCAACAGATGCCACAGCCCCCAGCTGACTCAGCCAGTGCAACAGGACCTTCCTTTCTGACCCAACGATGACTTGGCTCACCCTGCTTGGGGCCACACCTGTTAACCCATCACTCCAGCTCCTGGCCAGGACAGGCCCTGAGTCTCTCCTGCTCCCCAACCCCACAGCTGCCCAGCACGCATGAGCCCCCCAACAGGTGGAGTCCCAGGCCTCTTCCTCACCCAGGTAGCGGCCTCCGGCCTTGATGACAATGGCACCACGGCTCCGCGTCTCCTCCTCGGCCTGTGCCATGCTCTGCCGTGCTTTCTGGTAGGAGTCGTCGGTAGCACACACCGTGATTTTGTCCTGGATGCTGCCCAGGCAGTCCAGGTGAACATCCCCATGGCTGCAAGATAAGGGGCCAGGAGCCAAGGTGAACTCCTGGGATGACAAGGAGAGACAGTCTAGGAGCCCGTGCCCACCCGCCCCCCCAATCCCCAGGTGGGAAATGGGGTCGGTGATAACTTGAGCAGCATGGTTTCTACATGGCACATCTTGATCTGGAAGAAACAAGGCAACCTAGGCCCCTGGGCAGAGGCAGCAGGCCAGGACCTGCACCCATGCCCCGCACACACTGAAAGCAGCAGCAAGGCTCATGTAAAGGAAGGAAGGAGGCACTGGGGTGGCCTGGCTGGCTCAGTCCGTACAGCGTGCGGCTCTCAATCTTGTGGTCGTGAGTTCAAGGCCCATGTTGGGTGTAGAGATTACTTAAATAAATAAACTAAAAAAAAAAGAAAAGAAAAGAAAGAAGAAGAAAAAGAAGAAGGGGGCACTGGGCCCAGGTAGGACCTCACCTGGAGACATATTGCTGGATGCAGTCGAAGCTGCCCTGGGGGCTGTCACGGCCAATGTTGGAGAGGTAGAAGGAGAATGTCCGTGCCTCTGTGGGGCAGTCAGGCTGGGGGATGGAGATGTGCTGTGTAGAGAACAGGAGACATCACTGAGAGGTCCACAACACGGGCATGGGGGCGGGCACCATGGGATGGCCCATCCACTGGACCTCAGACCATCCCCACAACTTGACACAATGAGAATGTGCTAGCACTTTCTAAGCAGTGATGGCATCTCGGTCTGAGGAGCAGAGCGCTTAACATACACCCGGAGACAGGGATCCCACCCTGATCTGGGTCATGACCCAGTTTCCTGCCCAGCAAATGGGGCAGATCTGGCCTGGGACATGCGTGAAGATGAAATGAGACAAGATGGGCATCGGGAGCCATCAGGGCAAACTGAGCAGCCAAGATACTCCAACCCTTACTCCCCTGTGGGATACAGACTCCACCTAAATGTCCACTCACTGCCCTGCAGGCCCTCAGGGGCACACAGATGGGCAGCACTCACCTCAACAAACCATGACACGGTTACATGTGACACAGGATGAATGTCTTGGTTAATGTAACCCTGACTTTGGGCAGTGCCTCTGCAGAAGGGATGGACAGCCTGGCTGGCAGACAGACAGACAGCAATGGTCCCAGCCAAGGTATAGGGCTCAGCGCAGGTGGGACAGCCTTGTGCCCAGAGGCCACTGCAGGATTTCAGACCAACCCTCCCTAGGTTGAGGGAGTTGGTAGGAAGACCCCATGCTCTGGTTGCTGGCCCATATTCGGGGTACAGGATGGGCCTCCAGAATCCTGTCACCCCATGGTGGCCCCTCATAAAGTAATCACTGGGTTTTGGGTACAGGAGCTCATCACAGCTGACAGACACACAAGGGGGGCACAAGTGGTAAATGGAGGTTAAGGGGATAGGCAGGCCGCATTCCGGCCTCATCCCCAGGCTGCCAGCCAAACCACCTCAGTATGCCCAAGCCCTGTTTCCTCTCCAATGGAGGTGAGTATACCAACAACCCTCATCAGCACCAGATCAAACATGGCCCAGTTGAATTCCACCCCTGCCCCACTGTCACGAGTAAATAAGGGCAGTTCAGCCTGTCTGAGACTGAGAACACAGTGGCTCAGGCCACAAGAAAGGACGCTGCTCCTGACCCAGCTTCACGGCCTCCCTGCCCCACCCCTCAGGCTGGTGCATGGACCCATAGGGAACCTGCATGTCCACCTGGCCTAGCGTTGGCCCCCAAACACTGAGTGATCTGCCCAGCATACGGTCAGTCCCTGCCCCCAGGAGAGGCCCGGATGTGCACAGTGAGAGCAAACCTCGCTCAGAGTGGCTTCCAGACATGGCAGTTGAGCCTTGTCCTGTCTGCACACAACATCTCCTTTCCAACACTTGTGGCCACCCTGTGCTGTCCATTCATCCCCCCCCCTTTTTTTTTAAAGATTTTATTTATTTGACAGAGAGAGAGAGAGAGCACAAGTAGGCAGAGTGGCAGGCAGAGGGAGAGGGAGAAGCAAGGCTACCCGCTGAGCAGGGAGCATGATATGGGGCTCCATCCCAGGACCCTGGGATCATGACCTGAGCCGAAGGCAGCCACTTAACCGACTGAGCCACCCAAGCGCCCCACACTCATCCCTTCTTGGATGTGACTTTTTGTTCTCCATTATAGAAGTAGCTGGAAACACATTGCTCAGATGCCAAGGCTCGGGCTGCTGAGGGTCACTGCAGGAGATGCATCCAAAGCCAGATACGTACTGACACAGTGGCCCAGAATGCAGCAGGAAGCTCACACACCACCACAAAGTCAGCAAATCAAAAGCCGCTTCCAGCGGAGCCTGACACCCGCTGCCGGGGGGGGGGCGGGGGGAGCTTTCTCCACCCCATCCTTGAACCTCTCCCTCATCCCATCCTGGCTCTGATGGAGATGTGTCTCCCCCCCCCCCCCCCAGGTGGCATTTTCCACCTCGGTCTGCTCAGAGGACAGTGACTGGGCTGTCACCCAAGAGAAGGGAAGGAGGTCAGGTCTGAGTCCCAAAGCAACTGTGCTTCTCTCTAGGTGGGGGCTGTAGGGGACTCTGCACTGTGACCCTTTTACCCCAACTAAACCTTTCCACACAGGTGCGTATGCCCACTTTCAAAATTTATTCTGGAAGTGGGGGTCCCAGCGCAGAGCCCAGAGGTGGGTTTGTGTAGCTACTGGAGCCACAGGATGGTGAGAAACCCTGGGCTTGAAACTAATGCACAGGAGAACCAGATGCTACTCGTGACAGGGGAGGACACACACAGAGGTTTCCGGTATCCTTCAGGACAAAGTGGGGAGCACACGAGTCGGGGAGGGAGGGAAGTAGAGGGGAGGTTTGCTGGGAGCCTGGTGTGGCCCATTCTCTCAGTCCCGGCTCCCTCACCAGCACTACCACGGCCTGTGGAATCCTCCTGTTAGCAGGCTGCTTTGCCGCTCCCAAATGACGCTGGTTATTGGTTACCAGTCACTGGGAACCAGGCAGGGAAATCAGCCAGCTGGGCATGAACAGCCCAGGAACGCATGGCTTTCTCTGGCTCAGTGAAGAGCTTGGCACATGTTCCAGGATGTGGCCCGAAACAGCCCTGGTCAGCCAGAGCATGTGCCTTCTGGACCAAGTCTCAGCTGTCCCACGGGGGCCACCATGTGGCCCTCAGCTGGCCTAAGCACGCAGGTTTGGGTGCATCTGATGTCAGCCCTGACTCCGGGTTAGGTCACTATAAACCTAATCGAGCGTCTGTGTGCGCAGAGCTGGAGCAGCAAACAGGTCTGTCCTTCCTGGGTGGCCCTGAGTGCCTCTGAGGCCTGCGAGGGGGCAGAGGCTCCTGCCACAGCCCTATCCTTTGAAATCTGGCCCAAGCCGGGCCTGCCTGCCCCCCTCCTCCCCGGGTCTGTGGTGTAGGTGGGGGCTGTGAAAAGACACAGCAAGTCCTGGGGGCAAAAACTGGTGGGGAAAGCACTTGATATTCCGTTCAGGTAAGAATGAGGTCAACGGGCACGTACAGGAACCCAAACGCCAACTGACCAGGGTCTTCTCTCTGGCCAGAAGAGTTTTCAGGCAACACTTGTTTTCTTAGTTATTGTCACTTCCCGGGGAAGCTTCAGAATAAAACATATTCTGGGTACAGAGAACTACCATTGCTGAACTTGACTTCCAAGAGAAAGCATCCTCTGCCACCCAGGGGCACTCCCTCAACCCCAGGCTCAGGGCGCACGCTAAGCACCTGCCTGCATTCCAGGCGCCGCCCTCATGCTCTCACCCGCCCAGCAAGCTCAGGAGAGGGAGCGCACAGCCCCCTGCACTCCGGTCAACCCTGGCACACAGTTGGCTCCCAACTCCAAAACCCCCCATTTTAGAGAGTTTTTAGTGTTTCCAAACTGTCCCTGTTACAAATGACGCAGCAATAAGCAGCTAGTGGCTCAATCTTGTGTATGCCCTTAACTGCTCCCGCAGAGATGGCTCCTAGACACACAGACAGAAACTGGCCAAACGCCTCTGACCAGAGCTGCCAAACCTCATTCTAGAAAGTGCGGTTCAGGCTCCTGCCACAGCACAGGGAAATGCCGAGACCCTTAACAGCCTTGGACACCAACCCTACTTCTCTTTTTTCATCAACTGAAGAGTTTCAGGGTGGGGCTGGCCAGGTGGGGGTTTCTCTTCCCCTCTGGAGGCTGACTTCACCAGCTGTCAGAGGTTAACAACTTAAAAGTGACCCCCAGCAGCACAGGGGCCCAGGTCAGCCAGCTCAGTGTTCGAGAGAAGGCAGAGAATGCAAACACAAACATGTACTTGGCAAATGAAACAAAGATGAACATCTTGCTCTGGCACATGACCCCCCCGAGGCCCAACATGCTACCACCGGTGGGCCAGGCTCTCCGGGCACCCTGGCAAATGCCGTTAGTCACGCCAAGGAAGCAGCCAACACCAGGGCCCGGCTGCACACCACAACCTCCTTGGGCAGGCCGGGTTCTCATGGTGCTTGCAAGCATAAGCAGGTGACCAGGCCAGATGGGACTCCCACCCAGGCAGTGCTCAATGTTGAAGCCCGACGCTGGCTATGCGCACCGAGGGGGACGCACACGAGGAGCTGAGTGAGCTCATTCTGGGCTGCAAGGAGGACACTGGTTCTCCTAAGACACTGGTTCTCCTAAGACCTCATGAATACACACACACACACACACACGACCCCTGAGGCAGAGAGCCGATCTCCTGGGCGAGGAGGCTGAGGGATGGTGAAAAGAATTGGCCAAGGTCCCTGAGCTCAGGAGCCTACTGATGGGGTCTCAATCTTCAGTCTGTCAGCTTCATGGGCCTCTGGGAAAGAGGGTCCCCGTCACCCTACAAAGAGCCAAACATGGAATTAGCCCATTCCCCATGAACATTGGATGAGCCTGCCCAGCCCCACCCCACTGACCTCCTCCTGCCTGCTCCTTGCTCTGTCCAGCCTACCTCACTGGCTCCATCTCCCAACCTCAGCTATGCACAAGGAGCTGAGGGACCAGGAGAAGTGGGAGGCAAGAGCCCAGGTGCCCTGCCTCCTCCGGCAGCAGGGGGACTATGCAGATGCGGCCCGCTATGTGCCTAGCACCAGGCCAGGCCCGTCACAACTGGCAGGGGGGAGGGGATGCATCCCATCAATGCCCAGGAGGAGAAGGACAAGGTCCAGAGGACACAGAGGGTAGACCTAGTGCCTGACCCTTCGCAGCAAGCAGGGAAAGAATAGCACTCCTCCTCGCCACTTGGCACCCTCCAGCCCTCACACAGGCTCACGCAGGGAATAGCCTCCTAGTGAAGAATCGTGGTCTGGCTTGCCCAGAGCTGCGGCATAGGGCCTCTGTACGCTCAGAACTTTCTAAAACTCTGTTACGCATGAGAAAATCCAGACAGAAGGAAAAGTGGGTAAAACATGACTCTAAATCTAAGGTGGTAGAACCCCTAAGTTGAACGGACGTGGCTCTGAGGCTTTGCACAGAAATTTGGGCAACACAAGGCACGGCCCAGGAGAACCTCGTGGTGCTTCTGTGCCTTTTGTGAGTGGTCGTGTGGTGTCTTGCTGACCAGAAAATGTTGCTCACTACATAAGCCACTAATCTCAGTGGCCCCTTCCATGGATCCACTTCCTCTTCTTTCCCTGACTGCTGAGGGCACAGCGTGACCATTGGCCACCAGAGGGCGACATGAGGCCAGTCTGGCAGCAAGCCCAGGGAACCCTGCCCCCAACACTGACCTCTGCCCTTGGGGCAATGTCCCAGGGAAAATAAAGGGAAGGCTGCCACAAGACTCCGAAGGGGCTGGACGGAGGTGCGATGTCCCTGAGGAGGCACTGGGGAAGCAGGGACTCTGGGGCCTTTCAGGGGGTCCTAATGACCTTGACAGGTCTTGGTATGATGGTCAGTTCAGTTCACATGTGCACCTGGCCAGGCCACAGCCCCAAGTGATGCCATGAATGCTAATCTGGATGAAGGTATTCTGTAGATGTGGTGACATCCACGACCAGCTGACTTTAAGAGAATGACCCTCGATGGTCTGAGTGGGCCTCATCCAATCAGCTGAAGGCCTTAAAAGGGAAACTGAGGTTTCCCTAGCTTGCCTGTGGACCACAGTGCCCATTCCTGCCTGCTCCATGGATGGACTTCAGCCTCACCAGCCCCACAACTGTAGGAGCCAATGCCTTGCAATGTATCTCTTGGTATCTCTGCATCTGCACACACAGACACATGGATCTTCTAGAGGCCCTGTCTCTCTAGAACACACTGGCAGGGGTGAAACCCACAGACCTCCTCCATAAAGAGGCAGCCGGCCAGCTGTCAGGTGGAAACTGACTCAGACACTTGTGGCAACACTTCAGATTAAAAAAAAAAAAGACTTGCAATAAAGACCAGAAAAAAAACTGAAATGTTCCAAGGCATGTGTGGTGGGTGAGGGATACAGGGGGCTCCTAAGCCTTGGGGGGCAAGAATTGTGGACAACTCATCCCACTTTTTTTTTTTATTCTCCCAATTTTTCTATAAGATGATCATTTAGAATAAAATAAATACGTTTCAGAAAACACAGAGTGCTCAGTTTCTATAACAACCCCCTCCCGCCATCGGCAGCCCAGTACTAAAATCAGACACCCATGGTCCCAGGTGTACCAACAAACCAGCTCCTGGGGAGGCCACGGCTCCAGGCCTACTTGGCCCCTGGGACACCTCAGTTTTGAATCAGTGCAGAGATCATATCAGAACAGAGACTAGGGGGCCTGGGAGTCAGCTATGCATTGGCTATAGGAAGGAAGGGGAGACTCTGAAGGACTGCTGGACAGAAAAGCTGCATTCACCCCAGAGAGCCTCTTGGTGTGGCCCCGGTCATGGGACCAACCTGGCAGACCTTAGCTCGGCACAGCGCCTGGCCTGACATACACAGAGATGGGACCAAAATGCTGTTCCCAGCCTGCTTCTGTGCCCAGCATGCCACAACAGGCCAGAGCGCACACTGTCACAATTCCAGACACGCTTAAGACAAAAAAGACTCACCCCTTGACTTCCTTGAAATCGGATTGATGGTCTCAGTGAAACAGACTCCTGCAAAAAAGCAAAATGGGAAAATGTCAATAAAGATATCTCGAAATCCAAAGACTTACTTCCCAGGTATAGAAAGAGTAGGGTAAGGACAGTGTTTTCAGCAGACATGAGAGAAAACACACACACATCTGAAAATTACAGGAAAGATCACTGGAGCAGAATTTTGAAGCATCAGTAGGAGTTCCTGAATGGCAGGTATATAAGAGGTAAGAGTGGAGACACAGGCAATGGGCAGCCCCTCACTGTTACCCCCAAACCAACATCAGCCCAGACCACCCTGCTTCAGAGACACCCCCTCAGAAGGGAATCGCAATGGATGAGCACCGCTGGCCAGAAGGCAGGCTGACGAGGTGATGCCCCCCCACTCCAAACACCCTGCCAGGACAGGGCCCAAGGTCTGCTCAGCTCCCACGTCACAACTTCAGAGCAATTTGTCACTGAGCTTGGGGTGGCGGAATTTCCAAATGTCACAAGAAAAAATATACTTAAAAACTCAAAATACTTTAAGCTTCAGCTATTCAGAGATCAGCCTTCTGTCAGAATTTTAGAAAGAACACGGATCCAGATGGAGGGTCGCACCTCTCTTTCTCACCCATCTTGGGCCCAAGCACCCACCTTCTGTACAGCACATATCACCCCACAGCGTGGCCCTAGTTTGTCACCACAACCCCTTCCCTCTCAGTCCCCAAACCCTCCTTGCTTCTGTGCCCACTATCCTCCCCAGCCTTCTCCAGACGCCTGGGCTCTCGCATCTCCATCCAAGCTTGCCCCTCGGGCCTGCACCCCAGCCCCACCGGCAGTGAGAGGAGACCCTCCCAGCTGGCCCCAGACACCAGGTGTCTGGACTGACTACCTGTCTGGTCCCCACCCAGACTGTCAGGCCCACCACAGGCCCTGGGTGGGTGAAGTAGCTCTCTAGAATCACGGGAAGAACCAATCAACAGGCAGGTTGGCCTCTCGGGGTGCATGGGTCCATCAGCTGCTGGGCTGAGGGTTGTAGTTGTATGAGGCAGACATGGCTCAGCAGCTGGGACCACACAAGCCGTACATGTACTCCCCCCCACCACCCTCCCACACACTTTGTTTACCAAGAGCCCTCTCTTTTGCCAAATCTCAAGGACTGTCACTGGAGCAGTTTGTCAGTGAACTTGGGGCAGCAGAATTTCCAAATGTCCTGAGAGATCACACCAAGCACCAGCACTTACTCCCATAGGATCTGACACCCTAGAAACCACCCTACATTTCCAAAGCACATCACCTCTCACTGCCAGGCTGTCAGATATGGGACATCCTCCAGCCCCCTGTCCTGCTCCAGGACCGGAAACCAACCCCTGCTTTGGAGGGTCGCCGTGCTTTGAAGACAGACGCCAGGCTTTCCCCAAAGCAGGCTCAGGACCAGCTGACCCATCCTATAAGCCACAACCTGACCTTGCCCGTCACCCCCCACCCCTGGGGCTGATGTTCAGAGAATGAGAAACACAGCACCTGTGGGGTCCCCGGACCAGCTAGGCCCTTGGAGATACAACATTTAAGAGGCCTTTGCTTGGAACTGGGTTAAAGATAGAGAACAAAAAGAAAACCTGCAGGTGGCCAATGAGCACGTATGAAGCCACTAGTCATCAGTGAAGTGCAGGTTTCGCAGGGAGATACCATGCACCTATCAGGACGGCTAAAACGAAAAGGACAATACCCAACACGCTGGTGGGAATGCACACGGCAAAGCCACTGTGAAAAACGATCTGGCAGTTTCTAAAGAAGGTTAAACACAGTTACCATATGACCCAGCATTTCCACTCCAAGGGACAGACCCAAGAGAAATGAAAATATAGGTCTACACAAAAACGTATATAGAAATGTGCACAGCAGAATTACTCTTAGTATCCAAAAAGTAGCAACAACCCAAATACCCATCAATTGGTGGACTAAGTAACAAAAGAATACTACCCAGAAATAAAAGGGAACGAACTCCTGATGGACACAACATGGACAAACCTCAAAGCCTCTAAGTAAGAGTACCTCAACATAGGACATCCTGCATCGGATGATTCTGTTCATGTAAATTTCCAGGAAAGGCAAAACTAAAGAGACAGAAAGCAGATCAGTGAGTGCCTGGGCCATGGGTGGGAGCGGGCAGTGGCTGCAGGCTGCCGGAGGCAACTAGACGTCTAGGGTGGTGTATTTACACTCACAGACCCTACGCCTAAAGCAGGTAAGTTCCATGGGCCATCCACACACCTCCATGACAGCTGTGACCTGCCCTCAGGCTCACAGAGGGTCTTTCTCTGAAGACTCCTGGGCTTTGAGCAACATCACCTGAACACAGAGGATTCCTGAACACCCAGAGGAGATATTCCGGTCTGTTAACCATTTTCAGTGCAGGATATAGAGTAGAGGGAAGGAAACAGAAGATACAAGAACACCACAGCAAAGGCAATGCTAAGGCAAAGCAGTCCTCTGGAACTCTCTACCAACCTCACCTGATCATCAAAGACAGGAAGGCAGGCTGCTCCCAGCAGAGGGAACAGCAGGTACAAAGCCCAGAGCAGACACACGGGACGCCACAGTGGCAGAGAGCACCTGGGGCTTGCTTCTTGCACCCCCACGTCTGTTAGCCCAGGCCCCCATGTAGGAGCCAGCCTAGGGCTAACTCTAGTGCCTTGCGTGTCTATCAACACAGGGCAAGGCCTGTGTTGGGGGAGGAGCTTGGGGGACAGGGGACATGACAATGGTGATGATACAAGTCTGGATTTAGAGTAATAATGGGGAGGAATCCAAAAGGGCGCATCGTCCCAGAAGGAACTCCACCAGGGCAGCCCCAGCAGTGCCTGGCAGACAACAACCAGCACCCACACCAGCTGGCGTGGTGGGCCACCCTCCCCCTGGACCACATGCTCCCTGTGAGCCACTTAGTGAAGCGTTTAACTGGCGTGGTAGCTGCCAAGCAAATTATCTAGAGGACTCCTTTCCTGCAATCACTCATTCCCCAACAGTGGTGACTTTACCCATCGGAGAAGCTGGCAGAGAGGCCTAAAAACCCAGGCCTTCTCAACAATGCCAAGGCCATGTCCCCAAGCAGCCTGGCTATCATCAGAAAACCAGGCCCCTGGTTCTCATGGTGTCTCCTCCCTCCAGCAGAAGAACCAGGCTCTTCTTGTCAACAGCAGAGCAATTCACTTGTTACTATCACATACATACCTGCATGACTCCCCACAGGCCCCGTCTATAGCCACTAACAAAAACAGGCATCAGGACCAGACCCAAATAAGTTCCGCCAGCCCTGTGCAGGCAGGGGGAAAGGGGCCCCACCTGGTAGGACATTAGAACAAAGGGAGAAGCAGCCCTTAGTGCCCTCACACTCACTGGATGACAAGGTGTGTTCTAACGGCACTCAGGTCACGGGCCACACCACCCAACAGTGGGCAGCCGGCCACATTTACAGGCCCAGTAGGGCCCACCCTTGGTAATCTGGGTTAATGAGGCTGCCTGAGTCAGCTGCGGCTCTTGCCCATCAGCTCCTCCACCCCAGGGCAGACTACCTTGACTTTTTTTTTTTTTTTTTT